TAAACTGTATGTGTCATTGTATTGTTTTCTGTGTGAGCGAGAGAGATCGTATCTCGAAGTTCAAATGATTTTAATATCAGTATTATAAGGTTGTTATTCATATTGTGAGGGACACTACTAAACAATGTATCGGGCGTTGTTGCTTATGTTGCCAGGGTTTCTAACAATTAAATATATTATTGTGTATATTATTATTGCAACTCACAATGAAAGTACAGTGCGTTATTGTTTATATACCAATTTAGTGACAATATCTGGACATTAAACTTGGTTTATACTTTTAGAAATTCGTACATTAAAAGTGTAATAATTCATAATTATAGCTTGAAATTTGAACAGTTACTCGTATCGGTAAATTCATTTCTAGCTCCCACTTACTTTAGTTGTTTACAAATTGAGAAGTATCATTGACCCTTGACCTTCTACTTTAAGAAGGTAGTCGTGATCAGGACACACTTAAAACAGTGAAACTTTTGTATCAAAACCGGTTCAACCCTACATATCGCCCTTGGCCAACCACCTCAGTTAGCAACAGGATCAGCAGGACCCATTGTTAAACGACACCTGTTTTATTTCACGGAGCGGAAGCACGATGGGCAGGTGCCCATCACGGGGGAGATTTAGTCAACAAGAAAAACCCCAGGGTCCAGTTTAACGGTCAACGCAATGCTCATGGTTCGTGTGGAATGTTGAAGGTGTCCATGTCCAAATATTGTTTACGCGTTTTCTCCAAGTGCTTATGTTAAGTAGTCATTTCTGTCACTTGGAGAGGAACCGTTTATAATCCACAGCTACATTCTGTTTACTTTGAAACATTCAAAAAATCGCAACAGTTACTTTAAAATGAATTATTTCACTTTGCACTGCTTGAAACTTTACTTTCTATGTATACTGTCAGTCTAGATACTACTGGACAAATATATCGGCCCATCGTGTTCTTGGTCTCTCCATCTATTTTTCTCCCTTTTCTTTCTTTCACACCCATGTGTCTGCCTCTTTCTCTCTATCTGTCTACAAACGTATCACTCTCTTCTCTGTTTAAATGTTTGTACATCTATGTCCCCCAGTGGTTCATCGGCAAGTCTGCAGGCGTACAACGTTAAAAACTAGGTTTAGATACCCGTGGTGGGCAGAGAACAGATAGCCCTTTGTATAGCTTTGAGCTTAACAACAACCAAAATAAACTGTTTATCTATATATACCAATAAAACTCTTAATTAAACTTTTTGTTTATTAAATTCACTATTTTACTTGTTATTACTTGTAATTGTGTTAACAAACAGTTACTGTAGAACACCGTGTGGGAGTGTCGAGCAGCACGTTGATACATGCTTCTTCGATATGTATACACGTAAAACTGCACGTGTCATGAGGAGAAGTGGATAATAAACAACTTATGCTGAAACAAATATTCAAAATAAACAGGATACTATTTACTTAATAGTTTATGTGTATGTTACACTTACGTAAGTTCGTAATACAAGGTGAATGTAGAATCGTGTGAATCCTTCAGTTTAAACACCGTATCGTACTGGTAGGAGTACGTAGGTGTGAACAGACACAGCTTGTTGAAGCATGTTTAGTCACCCCAGCGTAAAGGACAATATAAAACACCTATGACTAAGCCGTAATATTTTAGTATGACACTTGCCTGGTTAATACGGTATAAAACGTTTATTTTTTTTTTAATTATTGTTTTTATTGTTGCTAAGTAAAAACGATAGGCAATGGGCTATCTTTACTGTGCCCTCAGATTTATCGCTGATCTACCAGAGGCTGAATGGTATGGTACTAGCCTATTCACATCAGTCTGAGGAACGAGACGTTCAGTCTGTTCGAACACGTTATGGGTGTGCTAAGGATATTGGTGTTGTTAACCTGTAACTAATATGGCGGATCGTGCATTTAATGTTTATATAAATGCTTTCAGTATTATTTCATTTCTTAATTCCAGTATATTGAAATGCTCTTTATTGTATACACTATAACATTTATTTCTGAAATAAAACTGAAAATACCAAACCCGAACTCTAAACTTGAGGTAAAGAGTAGCAAGGTGAATAGGAAGGAACAATTACCTTCAGTAAACGTTCTGGTTGGTGGGTTATTTCATTGTGCTCTGAATACGGTTGCCACACGTGTTCTGCAAGTATCATGTTTGAAAAATAATACAAAACACAGAACTTGAACCAGGCTGGGAAACTAAGCTAGTGTTTGAGTCTATTGGTTAACGTGTCGGGCTGCGTGTCGACGAGTCTGGCGTTTGAGACACGATGGCTCTCAATACGTTTCGCACTTTCAGCTGTGAGACGTGTTATAAAAGTGACAGTCGATTCCGTTATTCAGTTCCAAAAGCCAGATAATGCCCCTTCAGCGGCGGGTACTGTTGGCTGTTTTCCATCTGCTCAGTATTTCAAAATTAGGTATGGCTATACCTGAATACTAAGAGGTATTTGACCTGGCCTGTTAGCCCGTTTGCTTATAAAGTATTGACGATTAAAATTTCAATTCTTTCTTTCTAAGTGAGAGAGGAAAACCAAATTTGAGGTGATTTGTACAGAGGTCGCTGTCAATACAGGCGACTGTGAAGTTTCTTTACATCAGATACGGCACAAACTTTGCATTATCAACAATGATCAAACTTATCGCTTGGATTTCGCATTGTTAGGCATAACATTGGGATAAGTTCAGTATCTGTACACAAGAAAAATAAAAAACAATTATATCACAGCAAAAATAAAAATATTCTATACACAGTGGGCCATCGGTGATGTGTACACTGCAAGGATCGAACCTTGAACGTTAGCGTTATAAACCTCGAAGCTTACCGCTGAGCCACCGGAGGGGGAATAGTTAATCAATTTCAAATAAAAATAATGCAATTGTAAAAAACTATCATTGTAAGTAATAACAATTTATCAACTGTCATTGCTGGGTTAATTTCTAACCCTAATCTATGTGGGTAGCATCTTGGTTTGATCAGAAGTTGATGATAAAAAGTTACGAGGCAACAGTGACGTTTCTATTGCCAAAGAAATAAATAAAACGTGTTATATCTTCTAATCCACATTGAAATTGATAATTTTTATCATTAATTTATCCAGAGGTTTCCCAGTGTTCAGTTGATTAGAAATTGTGTACCTGTAAAAAATATTTGTGCAGTTGAAAAATTCACCTATATAAGTAAGTTTAAGTTGATAAATATTAAATATATATTTATTTAAGATTATAAAAAATCCATTCTAGAGTTGATAAACATGTTTATTTGCTGGAATATTCTTCATTTTTTGGGATCATTTGTTACATGAGGTGCAATAAAATGTTAAAAATGATGAAATGAAAATATAATTGTACTGTTGAAAAAAATTCTTAGGAAAAGCTCTGGATTTATTCATTTTAAAAAACATTTGAAAGGAGGAGGCAACCTGGCAGCCACCTAGTGGAGCCAACGGGAGTGCTATAAGAATAACGGTATAAACCCACTGTTTCACCAGGCAAGATTAGCTCAAAAGTTGGTGGTGGGTGCTCTTGACTAGCTATCTTCTTTCTGAAATGAACAAACAAATGATTTCAAGGCTTAACCACCTATGTGCGGGTGCCCTCAGAATTGGGTAATTAAAGTGTATAAGATATAAATATATTCAGAACCTTATTATTTTCATTGCGCATGCGTAAAGTGCATTTGCTCGAGCTTTGAAAAGAAAACATCATTTGCTTATGACACGAAAAATTTTGGTTGCACGTGAATTACTAGTTTTAGAAATATATTTTATTTTCATAACGGTAACACAAGGTCTGTCTGAATAGACGTGGGGTCAGGCACGCGCCACAAGTACGCATCCTCGTGACAATCTCGGTTGTCACCTGCATCTTTCCAAGTGCCCGTACGTAACTGCTTCAAAACGTCGCTGCAAGTCCATCATTGGTTGATTTGTCTGAAGTTTTGGGCTTGGTGACGCTAGGATTTTACGGAGCTAGCACGTGTTCTCAGGCACGTTTACGAGGGCCAGAGACACAGTATTTCCTGCCCAACAATCTCTGTCTGACGAAATAATTCTTGGAGCAAGTTATCAATAACTATTTTTGAATGACAGCTATCTCAACAGCAACAATAAAACAAGAATGTGCTACAAGTAAAATATACAAATTAATTTGGGTTCTGTGCTTCAACGTTATTAAAAAACTCAACCTGGAAACAGTTCTTAAGCTTTATGTCTAATAGACTGTTATTTGGGGGAGGGGGAACACTATTTTATTTATAACTTTTTAAATTATTTTATATAACATAAACGTGCTTAAAATCATGACAAAAATAGTACACTATCCTGGTTTATCATAACCTACACATTTTAAATTTCATATAATAAATATGAAACTACAATAGCTAAATTTTTGATGCTCAGTCTTTTTATTTTGTTGTTGTTCAAAACTGAAGTTGGCTTTAAACACGACACAAAACCCACGATGCACTGAATTCGTCAAAAAAATCCCAGTTCTGTCTGTAAACATTATACTTGTAGCGCCATCTAGTGAAATTATTTAATATACGGCTAAAACGTACTGTTTCCAGGTGTCGGGATTTAGGTATTGTAGACCTGGGAGAATCTGGTTCAAAAATGACCTCTTTCTCCCTCCAGCGCTTGATCAATTTCTGTTCAATATTGATTTAGTTACTACAAGAGGGCCAGAGTTTAGCTAGTATACGCTTTTACTCTGACCCCTTTGGGGGTCATGTCCATGAATGTAATTATATTAAATGTACTGATGAAAGGTAGTCCCCTTGTTGCATTGCCGCCTTACGGCCACGTGAGTGCCAACTGAAAATACACGTAGCGCGCGAGCTTTCGCTTTCTATGTTAATATATTTTAGCTCCACCTACTCCCGGTTCCGGTTCGCAGAGCAGATAGGCCTTGAGATATACGAGAGCGCTAACCTTGAAGCTTATTGGACGACGTGAATATGATGTCACCATTACGTACTTTCAAAAACCTCCATCTGCCAGCCAACAAGCCAGACGTGTGGTAGATGTGAAGTCGACGAACAACGTTAATACTTCGAGCAAGGGTGGATACTTACAGTACTTATTAACTGTAATTTTACTGGATACCTTAAAAGTTTGTTACAGTTTGGTATGGTATATTTAATTGTGGTTTGCATTAGTGAAATCTACAGTTACTAGACTTACTGCGTATATGTTGCCTCACAACGGACATTCTGTAACGATGGATACATCACCCGAGAGAAGCAATGATATGGACTATTGTAGCGGTGAATTAGGGTTAGAAGCAGGGAGTGAGGAATTAAATTTTGGTTCTTTAAAAGTGGCTAATAACTCTCGTACTCCATACACAGATGCTACACAGTGTAAGAAAGCAGCCAATCATATTAAGCGCCCTATGAACGCTTTCATGGTGTGGAGTCAGATTGAACGCCGTAAGATTTGTGAGCAACAACCCGATACGCATAACGCAGAAATTAGCAAGCAGCTCGGGAAAAGATGGAAACTTCTCACTGACGATGAGCGTCAGCCGTTTATTGAAGAAGCCGAACGACTGCGTATTCTTCACATGCAAGAATATCCTGGGTACAAATACAGACCAAGGAAAAAAGTGAAACAAACTTCTAAGCCTGAAAAGAAGAACCCTATGAAACACAAGTCTGCCAGAGATAAGGGCGGTAGTAAGCCTAAACAACATAGGTTTCAGTTGTCAAGTTCTACCGTTTTCTCAGCCACTCCAGTGCCAAATGTTGGCATAAATCACAATCGGCTCAAGCTCAAGCTCACCATTGACAAGAAGTTTAAAGACAGCATTAGGCACAGCAAGCAGGTTCCTTTATCTGTGAACCAACTCACTCCTCCCGCAAAAGTACCGTGTTTACCGGTAGAGGACGACCCGTCTTCTCCGGAGAGCACCAACGTTAGCCTGTACGAAGATAGTCTGTACGCCAAAAATACCAAGACACATTTGCTTACATCAGAGAAGACAACATCTTGTATTAAGCCTGACGATACCGTAGACTCGTGTAGTGGCACTTATGATAATAGTCTAGTCGATCTAGACACTCTAACCGAAGTGCTGTTAGTACCCTCGGCATGGACTCAAGAGATGGGAAGTTTGAATATTTCACCCCTGACGGACTTTGATGCTTTGGAAACTGGTAGTTCTAGTTCTAGTTCACACTTCGAGTTTCCGGACTACCAGAATTCAGAAGTGACCGATATCTTGGGAAAGGACTGGCTTGACACAAGTTTTTCCTCATATATTTAACTCCTGCACTCTATAAAGTTATAAAATATAGCTTCTCATAAGTTGTGCTGTTAAGCCTTCCTTTTTCCCAACGGTCAGAAGTTTCTTGTGGGTTGAACCTATCGCGTGAAGCAGTGGATCTAATGTTGTTAAGAAGAGTTGCCTGTGAGAGGATTTATATTGTAAGCAACGAAATCTATTCGGTCTTATAGCACAAAGGCACTGTTTATAACCAAACCTATGCACATGAAAGAAACACCTTACTATATTTTCACAATCTAACGTAAGTGTTAGTGCTTGTATAAAGTTTTTTCTTGTTTTAATATTGAAGGCACTTTGACAGTGTTGCACAGCAAATGTTTGGTTTCTGATCGAATTTTGATAAAGAGTTCTTTAGCATTTTTCTATCTGGCGTATGTATGTATATATGCATATTATGACTTAGGCTTACCCTTATTCTAATACAAAAAGTCTCACCCACTGTGTATTAATGTTATGACTTATATGTACGTAGGCCTTTTACCACTTGTATACTTAATTATTTAAAGTAGAAGAAACACTTCGTTCGATGTGATTTTTGTACTAAATCTATTTTCTTAACTCTCTTCATTAACTTCGTTTCTTACTGTGGCCTAAACTTCGTATTTGGATTTGTAGATAAACCATAAAAAAGTGTTTGTTTAGACTCGTTATGTACAATACTGTACATAGGTAAAATGTATCTTGTTTAATTTTATAAGGTGAGGCAATTTATCGTTTTTGATTATTGGATTACTATGGTTAAGAATTTGTATATTTATACTTAAACAAAAAACATAAAAAAACGTTGATGGTGTATGTAAGGCGTCTAGCGCATAAAAAGGGGCCATTACGTTTCGTATTTTGTTTGAACAAACATAGTACCTAGTACCGACAGTAGGACTTTTGGAAGTCCGTCTGCCTTCGTTTTAGTCGTTAATACCTCAGTAGTTTTGTGTGAAAAATTTAACATGAGAGATACTTCAACATGTATTAATTATTTTCAAATATGTTTGGAGCGTGTGTTGAAACATAATAAATATATTATAACTTGGTCATAACGTTTTCAGGTATGGATAGCGTGGTATTTATTTAACACATTCGTACGTAGCCTAGGTCAGTGAGTGTTTGTGCAAGGCCTAGCTCAGGCCTTATTTTAGTATTAATTTTTCGTCCCGTCCTTCTTAGTCATAGTCATTTGCTTGAAATAATGTTTATTTATAAATTCAACTGGCGATAGGGAGACTGTGTAGTAAATTGTATGTAGAAATTTCTTGAACAAAATACGCTGTATTTGTACGACAATTTGTACATGTATCATAACTCGTTAAGCAAAAACAAATAAGTTTTATATGCCAAAATTGTGTCCCGTGTCATTTATTTAATATATCAAACAGTGAGAATTTGTAAACAGGTATGAGTTTATATTTCTGGAGATACTTGAATGAGGCTAATCTAGCTTCCTTACGCAACTTAATAATTGTAATTTAGGTATTTCATATTCTGTGTTCACCTTTCTAATTAATGACTACTCAAAATTTGGAATTTCCAATGAAGGACGTAAAATAACCGTGTAAAACTTAGCAATAATGTCTACGTTCATTTGTTGTTGTTTTTTCAACAGAAGTATCATTTTATCAGTAAGTATTCAATGTTAGGAGAAAACTTATCAGAGACATACAATTAGACACATTTTAAACTATTTAAATACCTCACCAGTGAATAACAAAATGAAAGACTTTTAAGGTGTTCTACAAACGAATTCAACCCAAATCGCTCAAGTTGTACGTGTTTTACTCGACCGTTACATCGTTTATTTTGTGTATGTTATTTATTTTGATAACTTATCTTTCAATCACGTAAATAAACTGTTGCTTAAACAGCTGTGCAAACTAAATATTTGTGTTTTTCACAAACTAAGCGAAGTTTCGTAACATATTTACAAAACCAACTAAACATAGGCACGCACTACGTCTGTTAACATATACTGTGCAATATTATCACGTCCCTACAAACAGGGACTTATCATCCGCCTGACATACTTGACTTTAGTACGAAGGTATGTTACCACGTGACGTAAAGGGTTGCAGATACCGTCAAACGAAAAGGCTTACGTTAGTTAATTTGGATATAAGATAAAATTCTTTAAAAAAAAACAGTAAAAGTAATTTTTAAATCATGTGTCGTGAGCAACTTATATGATATATTAAATGCAAAACGTAGAGTTTCATGATAAGGGGCTTATTTAAATCTGACATCAGCTTTTTTAAAGTTGCTCAATCCAACAAGTACAACTTACGATTTTTAGTGTTTTTAAAAGAATATATAGCATGATAACGTTTAAGTACACTCAATTGTTGTCACGAACTTACTAAATTTAGTGTTTTTTTATTCTTAATTTAATTAACAGCGACAAATTACATTAATTATCTGGTTTACTTTGTTTTCTCTTAAGCAAACGATTTAAAATATATATATATATAGTTTCGGCCAACACATTGTGTACTTTTTAACCTATTCGGCCTGATAAGCTGTATTATTGAGTAATAGACATGTACATACGGATAGTATTGTTGTCAGTCTTATCAAATAATTAATTTGAAATATTTTGCTATTGAGCTGATATGACATACAGGCTATCTGCTACCAATATTCGTTCCTCATTTTTCAAATAGCAGATTATCAATTCGAAAAATAGCTAACAGCACCACCGCCGCCAACTTTTCGGTTATTCCAAATCGAACAGGAGGATTTGACCTTTACAGTTTTAAATACACAAACAACGGCCCCAAAGTGCATAGCGCGTATTTTTATTCTTTGCGTAACGGGACTCGAACCTTGTATAAAGATTACGGCATATTAACCACTTGATCAAAAATGTCTCCTTCCTCGGAAGTAAACCTAACCAGATCAGCTAATTTCTAAACGTGTTAGTTAAATTACTGTGAACTTGTGGGCTGCGATTGAGAAAGTAGTTCCATCTATAGGCTGTACTTGTGAATAAATTTACAGTTAAACGAACGTGAGATTTTGTTTATTGTAGAAAACTGCTCGGTAGGTGTGTCGTTAACCTTAGGTACCAGAAACGCGCGTTTCCAAGTTCTATTTCATGCTTGACTAGCTGCCTTCTTTCTGATCTGTCAGTTTAAAACAGTATTGTAAATTTTGATAATGTTCAGTAACATAACTTGTGAAAGACAGCTTTATGTGACACGACGTTCAGTGTCGTGTACTGTTGGAAACAGCTACATGATAAAACGTGACACGACGTTCAGTATCGTGTACTGTAGGAAACAGCTACATGATAAAACGTGACACGACGTTCAGTATCGTGTACTGTAGGAAACAGCTAGTTGATAAAACGTGACACGACGTTCAGTATCGTGTACTGTAGGAAACAGCTACGTGATAAAGCGTGACACGACCTTCAGTATCGTGTACTGTAGGAAACAGCTACATGATAAAACGTGACACGACCTTCAGTATCGTGTACTGTAGGAAACAGCTACATGATAAAACGTGACACGGCGTTCAGTA